TAGAAGATCGATGTTATCAAGCAAAGAAACACCATGCCGTAGCGCGTGTGAGATTGGAGTTGAAAACCGCATCTACAGTTAGAACCATGTAAACGAGACATACTTGAATGTCAACACGTGGGCGAAATTGGCAATTATTGCAAAGACAGAGCTCACTTCAACGTCACTTTTTATACATTTTGTTATTGAGATACCACAAAAAGAAAAAAAAAAAAGAAAGAAAGAAAGAAAAAAGAAAAAAAAAGGAACTGGAGGCTGCAATTTTGTATCTTTTTGTATCTTTTCAGGTGGAAGTTACTTCAGACACACACGCAAATACACACACACACAACAAACACAACAGTAACCACAAAACCAACAACGCCAAAGGATCGTTACGTTGGCGAACGAACATTCACGCAAAGTAAGACTTATTTTGATGAAACGAACCACAATGATTTTGCACATTTCTGGGCACGTGGGTTCGGGAAGTTGTTGACGACTTGATAGAACTACAATTTTATTTCTCTGTCATTCTGTAGAAACACGCCCATACAATTGAAGAAACTGCGCAATATCAGCAAGTACAATCTGTCTGCACTTTTTTAATTATTTTTTCTCGCTCGCTTGGCAGCTGAAATGTGGTTCACATCAATGTTACGTGTAGTTTACATGCGTAGGCGGACAGGATGTGCCGTCAACAGGACACGGTTACACAAGTGATATTAAGCCGGAAATTTGGTCTTGACCTTTCAATGAAATCAACTGCAGTTCCAGATAAAACCAAAGTAGAATCACTGACACATTCTGAAACATTGCCGTTTTCGTTTAATTTAAAAACAGGCACAGTACGTGTATGTAATTGGAAAACTTCTGATTTATCTTCGGTCAAAGTTGGTCAGATTGTAATTCTTGATGTAAAGTAAAGACAAATGTTCAAGATAAAGTCTTTTTCGTGAAATATGACCCATGCGTTTGCGACCATTGTGCTAAACAACTGGAGTCTGACTATCATCCCTGCTTCAAGGTGCGAATAGGTCGAGCTCCTTAATCATTGCGTAGGCAATGCAAAGATTTTAATCTACAGAAAAAAGGGGCGTTTTACCATTTTTGTAAACGTGTATCACATTATGGCATATCACGCTCCTTTATCTTCGAACAGTTCAACAAAGCAGACATATAACTGCTATGGAGTACCACAACACGCACAAAGAGGAGGGAATCCTCCCCTACACACACTCCCAGTTAAAAAAGAGGTGTCGTATTTTGTCTCTTTCATAACTGTGAATTTTTCATTTTTACTGTATCCTGTCAATATTCAATCAACATTTCAATTAAATATACATTAATACTTTAATTGATATTTCAACTTATTTCCATTCAACGTTTTATCTTTTCATATATACTAGACAGCGTTGATAGGAGTGATGGATGATGAATGTTATAGAAATAGCGAGATGCCCTGTTTCTAAGAATTTCTAATCGATACCCATTTATTTTTCAGTGAAGAAGGCGTGGATTTAGAACAGTGCAAGGAGTCCCCGAGATATAGGTCTGATCACGACACGAAGACATGCGATATATTGATTGATTGATTGTTTCATTGGAAACCGATAAACAGACTTGTGTTTTGCGGGTTACAAATAGTCGTGTGCGTCATCCAACGTCAAATTTGAATTGAATTTTCAGTTTAATCATTTTACATTTCCTCAATACGATACCTTTACATTCGCCGTCATTAGAAATGTCACACAGTACAGTGTAAACATGTTTTTTTTTCTTAGAATATTATCAAGGTGCAGATAAAAGGCCACAAAAACAGAAAAACAACATGCCAAAACCAGGTAAACACTGCTACATGTTAATTGCCACGGATGAAAAACAAACCCTTGATAATTAGCAAAATGACGATGTATAATGTGAGGATGCAAAATATGACTGAAAACTAGTAACTTAGTGAGTATATTATAATAAATCTCAGTATTTTAACAAACTATTTCCAGTACAATTAATCCCTTTCATAACATAAACTTACCTGGTACCTAGAGTCTATTTTTCCCTGTTTTATAACTCTCTTAATTACCCTACCATCCTGTATTAATTATGTGACCTTTTTTCATTTTCATTTTCATTTTCATTTTCATAAGCATTAAAGACAGAAAAGAGTATAGGTATTCCCTCCGATATCAGGAGCTTCTAATATACTAACAGTATACATAATGAAAATATAGTATGCTGTACGATAAATTTGTAACAGACTAGTAGCGGATTCTGATGGCTACAGAAATAGGTGCCAATAGGATTTTATTAATTAATTAATTTATTTATTTATTTATTTATTTATTTACACCATTTTCGGGTAATGTCAACCAAAAATGATTGTGACTTTGAAAGTCTATGAGTGCACAAGACAGCTGACGATAGCATTAGCTAGTGTAAGCCACATTAGAACAAGTCGCTGACAGTGACTTGGTTGAAAGCGAACTCGATCCACGCCTATCGTAATTACCAGGCAAGCCAAAGTACCAGTGATTTCAATATAGCATGCTGCTTGCTGTTCGTTATGCAGTTTGCCCATTATTTTTACGTCAATTGGCAATACGTCTGCCTCGATCCATTACCATGGGTTTATCAGGTTAATGGAGTTGCTTTTCTGAGGACGGAGATTGTAATTGATCGGTTATTTTGTTTTGACCATCACCGTGTCTAACGTGCCGGTGTGACAGGAACGGTAGTCCAAGAAATAAAAGACAGGGGTCCCATATGATTTGTACCGGTCTGTGTTAGCATCAAGTTCAGTTTATAAGGCATATGGCACCTGTGGTAATGTGAAACGGGCGCCAGTTCGAAGCGGACTACCATTCCTGTCACATCGGGAATGGTGCATCATTGCAGTCGGATTTTTCATGGCGACGCCTCATTCGGCATCTCTCGGTAAATTCCGTGTTTTAATTTTGCGCGTAATGAAATCACCCGAGTTTGTGATATTATTGCGGTAGTTGAGATGAAACATGTGTGTGGTACATGATATGCCACATTTCTGTCTGTCTTGACACGTTTATAGTGGTGCTGTCTATGGTGCACAGCTTTAAAAAAAATGTACTTAATATATTTAATATTTATGGTATTAATTCAATCAGTGGAAGTCTTTACCTGATAAAATTCACCCAAGCGAAGCTAAAATGTAAAGCTTAAGATAATATTTCACACTAGCAGTCATTTCATTCTTGCGAAGAGTTTAAGACACAGAGCCTGGGAATCTCCATAGAAGTTTTGCAGATCGCGTTATCCAAAGATGAAAGCCCGTAATACTCAGCCCATGGGGTTATATGCTGAAGGCGTTATTTAGTATTGTGTGGGGTGATGGAATAATAAGAAAGGATCCTAACACATTGAGATGTATATAAAACAATATGATACATTCAAAATTATTAATATTGTCCTCATTTTTATTATTAAAAGCATCGTCGTCGTCGTCGTTATTGTTGTTGTTATTGTTGTGATAAAAACATTTCAGCCCACTGAGCATTAAAACCCCCTGTCTTTGAGAAGCTAATAACCCACATAAAAAATGGACAAACAAAACAAAGACACCGTCCAGACGTACTTGTTTTTAATGCAGGGCCTGCGTTCAAGTCTCAGGCTTTACCCAAAAAACAACAACAACAAAAATTCCCAAAAATCTGTAGTCCACATAAATAACGTCATCAGTAATGCGCCAGATGAGCCTTCTCCTTTGTAGCATTCTGTTATAGTCTCTCCACTTGCACTCGTGTAGATTTATCGGATTCATTGAGGCAATGATCACTTTGACGAATAATGATGAAATCATAATCTTTTTGAAGCTTATATGACTTCACGTACTGTAGCAGGATTCGGTAGAGATTTTTCACTGTTGATTACCTTCTATAAAAAATCTGAATAGATCAAACTTAAATACTATGAGACATGTTGGCTAGTTTGTTTTTTTTTCAAAAGAGGTTTAGGAGTTAGGTAATGCGTTATACGATTCATGTCCCACGTTTTAAAATCCCTTACTTGCTTAGATCTTAGAATAGTAGTGAAGCTATGAATGCAGATATTGTTTAATTACTGGCAACGTGTAGAGAACAAAGCACTCCAAAGCATTCCATTAACTGAAAAATCCGTAAAAAAAGAAAGATAAAAATCAATAAGCCACACCAGCCACGTTGCTATGATACATAATAGCACAGCAACAGTAAACAGCGCCCTTAAATTTTGTGCTAGCTGTAGCTAGAGCATTATAAGGGCAAAGGATACAGTGTGAACATTTTTGTTTACGTTTCTGACAAGCTCAGACTTACAGTGTATATAAAAACGTAAATAAAAGAGCTTAAGCATGTTTTTCTTGCTAGAAGATCATTACCCCCATTAAAACTTCGTGTTTAATTCATTTTATTTTCAGAAAAGGCGAAATGATATCAGACATCAATCTCTCTGGGGGGAATAAGTCATCAAAGTGGTTAGCGGAACACAATATCCGACTTGTTGAAGCTGACATCCGTTCTGCGCAGCTCAGTCATCATAAGTTCCGATGGAGTTAGAAACATGACACAAAAATCCAAGGTATCAGCATGCTTTGAACGTATCAAAGCATTCAATGCTAGCATGAACGGCTTACTGATCTGGCGCAAGTTTTATCACTGAACACGAAAATAACAACACCCAAGGGGTTTCAAGTATTGAAATTATATGACAATAATCCCCATCTATCTTTGAACCCGACAACCAGTGTTACAATTAGCCAACATACTCTCGATGTACAGTTAAAAAAAGGAGAAAAAAAGAAAGAAAGCTACCCTGTTGATCGACAATTAGGTAACGCAGTTGACGGAATGATAAAACTAATAAAAAACGCCCTTACACAACTGTAAACAGGTACTCGGAAATTGCAATCAGGGCCACAATAAGCAGTCAGTTGAACATGAAACGCTAGTCTATTCAGGCGGCGGTGTTTGTTACAAGTCTCACATCGATCTATAAGCAAATGAAGCCATGCTTCCATGAATTTCTGAGCACACGGATTAGATTTCCAGCTTCGGTTGCATAGTTTAAGCGGTAGAAAAGGGTGATTTCAGTGCTGAGAATCATATTTTATTCCAGTAACTTGGAACAGCAACAACGCAGATTGCCAAAGTGTGCTGAAATCGCGAAGAAGTGGTTAGATCGCAGATGTATTCGATAGGGAATCATCACAATGATCAAAGCTTAAATCTCTAGCTAGAGAACGGAAACTAATGCATCTCCTTTTTTCTACTGGAGGAGTCACGTAAGTGTATGACAGCGTGTTTCATATCACAAGAAGCATTTTCGTCAGTTTCGTAGCACCAAGCAGACATGAGAGAAATACCACCCGTTTTCTTCGTCCTGCTCGTCTTTTTCTCGAGTTCTCTCACCGTGGTGTTATCGGAGGTGAGGTCGTGTTCAATGCAGCGGCTAACTATGGTCGGCGGATTCGAGAACACGAACCGCGCCCTGAGTGGGTCTATCCTGACCCAGCACAGAGTGAAGAGCGTACGAGAGTGCACAGTTAGGTGCCTCTCCACTGCCGGGTGTGTGTCCTTCAATTATGAAAGTGCACCCGTGGGTCTTGCGGGAGGTTTCAGAAGTTGCGAGTTAAATAACAGTACAGTGTGGACTGCAGGACTCTACCGTCTAGTTCACAGAGAACGTTTTGTATACTACGAAAAGGTAAGCGTTGAGTATTTTTTTCTCTTGAGTATCTGCATTGCCGTAATTGATTGTTGATTTCTCCATTTATTTTCGTGTCTTTATCTTTAAATCTCAGTAACTTTCTCACTATGCATTTGTGTTGGTAGTGTGTGCGTTTTCTTATTTCTTTGTCCTGTCTTTTTGCATTTTTGCTCTGCGTCCCTCCCACCATTTCTATGGCTTGTTTCCTAGTAATGCTTTGGTATACATGGCATACAGTTAGCACCGTGATTGAATTGCCTAAACCGAATGTCCATTGTCAATTTTTTTTATCATCCGATGAGGCAGTTTTAACAGAAATTTCGCAATGTGAAACACATCCATGAAAACACACGACACGAGTTTCAAAAATGAATAATCGAACAATATTTCTCGGATCGCAGCCATTTTCACACACACACACACACACACACANAATTTGGTCCGCCCTTTACAGCACAACCGAGGACGCGTGTGTATAGCCCGATTTCAGACAAAAAGTTGGACAGTATTTCTGATACACTCGTGGCGGGAATTTGGCCCGCGCTATACAGCATAACCGAGGACTGGCTCAGAATAGCGTCAAATTTCACCACCTAACTTGAAATGGGCCCCTTTATGCATTCCACTGCTTATGTCAACCGAGGACGTCCTCGGTTGGAGGTGTGTCCTCGGTTAGTGGGTTTCGGGCGAGTGTGTGTCCTCGGTTAGAATGCGTGCACAAGAGCACGCACACACACACACTCTCTGTGTGTTTGTATGTGTGTATGATGTACAGGGGGTCACTAACTCCCTGTTTTAAACAGGCGAAAAAAGAAAGCAATAAATAAAAAAGCACCCTGTTTCTACGTGTTCTACGTGATTTCTTTGGTGTATTTGCCAAGTTAGAGAAAACCACCATTTTTTTTATTAATTATTGTTATTATTATTATTATTCTAGGTTGAGGATGGAGGCGCCATTTTTGTGAAACGTAAGTATTCGAATAAATATCGTTTTACAAACGATCTGAAATAAGCATAAAAAGTTGGAAATGACTTTAAATTATTTGTTTAACAATTGGCAATTAAAAGGCACAACCAAAATACCATTTTGTCATTGATGCACACGATTTTATCGAGGGATTGTCAGCCTTCGGAAAGGACAACAGCTAAAGCATAATTGTTTGATTTTTATGATGGGTTAATGAGACCTCTAATTCTTACAAGTTCAATATGTTTACAGATAAACAAAAATGTTACATCTGCATTATGTGTTTTTATGTGTGCTCTTCCTAATACCACATTTCTTGATATTGCTATATTGGTACTTAATAACTGTCACTTAATCTTTTTGCGGAGTGTTTATATGAATCACTAAGAGTCATAATACGTATACAAAGTACTGTAGATGTAGTGCAAAACTGATGAAAACATCTTCCCCCTAAACTATTAGAAAAATTATCAATAAATGACCTGGATCTCTTATTTCGTGGAACCGATACCAGATGCTATTCAATAAGTATAATCTTCATTGATACAAAAAACGTAGTTAAAGTGTTTTTGTGAAGATACAGCAGATACAACAAAGACAGTACAGAAGAGTTGTAACTCTTAAAATAAAGATTGTCATTGTAAATGCTTACTTTCACCAATATCATGTCATCTTAAGTTTTATGTCTTCATTGCGTAAATTTTAATGAAATAACAATAATACTAATAATAATAGTAATAATAATTCTAACAACAATACTAGAGCAAAATCCTTCATTATTATTATTATACAGGAAGCATGTATATATTTTTTTATGAAGCGGACTGTGGCGCTGTTCCTAATGTGACAAACGCATCAACAAACGTCACGGACTCTACTTACGTGACGTCCGTCACCTACAAGTGCAGTAATGGGTTCGACGTACAAGGTAGCGACACCATCTACTGTCAGCCTGACGGGACATGGGAAACGCCGCCGACCTGCTTAAGTAAGAATGATATTTCAAATTAAAATTTTCATTCTCCTATCTTATATATTCCATGGACGTATGCAACACAAATAAATCACCAATAGATGTACAGTTTCGCTAATTTTATATTTTCGTATGACATTCCTTCAAATGTATCGGTGTTTATTACGCAAATATCATGGGATTTTAAATGTCTCGTACAATGACAAGATTCTGTATCTCGTTCTCTTACGATAATCTCCTTACAGTCTCGCAGAACTCCAGGTGTGGCAATAGTCCGGTGGTGGACAAAGCCACCTCGTCACGTGACACAAGTACCGACACGGTTACGTATACGTGTGAGCCTGGGTACAGGATAAATGGAACTAACCCTATCAGTTGTATGATTAACGATGTGTGGGAACCGGCGCCAAGTTGTGAAGGTATCAAACATAAATTATTTAAACATAATAAGCACTTATATATATATATATATATATATATATATATATATATATATATATATATATAGGCCTAATTTTTTTTTTTTTTGAATGAAAAGGGAATTATCTAAATTATTTTATATTGATATTTTGAAGGAAATGACTTTATCCGACAAATTCAGTTCTGATTTGAACAGAAGATTTCCGAAGCGTTGATAATCCGTTTTACTTACAAATCACATTAGAAGTCGTGCCGCACAAAGTTTATATTTAATTTTCAGAACGAGGTTTCCCGGTTGCGATATCAATCACCAACAAGGACGTCGTGCATCCGTCTCTAGGAAAGGACGAAGGCTCCTGGATGACAGACACTGCCCTGGACAACGGGATGGTGTACATTACGGAAAAGTCTCACAATCCGGGCAAAGTGATAGAATACACCTCAGCAAACTTCCCATACACGAATCTTCCGAGGGAAATCGACGTGGAGTGCGACGGGACGACCCACGTTATACGAGACGGTTATCTTTTCTGTGGGCAACATAACAACTTGAACATCATGAAGTATCGCTTGACCGATGGCCAAGCTTTGACCACCGGTGACTTGCCAAGCGATGCTGGTGTCCATGACGTCTACCCGTACACGTGCGCGAGCCACACAGATATAGATGTCGCTGCGGATGAACATGGGCTTTGGGTGGTTTATGCTAATACGAGTAACAACATTGTGGTCAGCCGTTTGGATCCCGAAACACTGGACATCTCGGACACCAGGGTGATTTCTGATCACGCTAAGACCAACACGGCGGAGACGTTTATCATCGACGGTGTTTTATTTGCCATCAACTCCAGTCCTACAAATTACGTCAGTTACGTTTACGATTTATTTCGCGGGTCTGGAAAAACGCTGACTTCGACAGACTTACCTCTGGCGTCTGGAAGTCTAAGCGCTGATACCACGTGGGACTCATTTACCATGGTGGATTATAACCCACGCGATGGAAAACTCTATGTTTATTCGGAAGGAAAAGCGATCCGGTATGACGTCACACTTACTTTTTAAAATGGCAAATTGATACGTTACGTCACCGTTAGCGAACGACAGCAATGGTATATTTAAAAGCAAGACAATAAATAAATAAATGAAACAAAAAAAGAAGGAAAGAGAAAGTAAAAGAAAAAATCGGAGAAATTTCAATGTGAAATGGTCACATCGACAGCGGAACAGTAGGCATGGCGGATGTTGCGAAACGTGAAGGCGCAAGGCCCCATCTGAATGATTAAAATGTTATACCCCCGAGGGGAATGTTAACTTAAGAGTACGCAATCTCGTTGCTGACTTGTAAACTGCTTAACAAAAACTAACAGAAAGTCGGCGGTTATGTTTGTATTCAAATAGAAACAAAGTTGAGCAGTTACATTTTACTTTATATCGTAAAGGAACCGATACAACAAGAGACAGAGGTGCCAATTGATTTCCAATGATTAACAGTGGACATTTATTCATTACGACAAGGGAACTTAACATGTTAATATACATTTAAAGCTGTAGACACTGTTGAACCAGCTGTTGGAAGCGTATATGGTATTGGAGACTTTCTCTGGCCAATATAAACTTTCATCGGACTTTGCGGTTTAAACAGCTGTTAATACTATATAACGTAGATCTACTGGAAACTCATCTGCATAGGCAAATAAATGCTACAGCATGGTTTAAGCGTACATTGTTGGGTTAACATAAAACATTTAAAGGGGAAAGTAATTTGAAAAAATAATATGATATTTGACAAAAAAAGTAAGAAGAAGAACAGTCAGTAATTGGTTCTTTTTTTTCGGGTGCATAAAATTTACTGCAGAGGAAGGGTTTTCACCAGTTGTCGCGTTAAAGGTCTTCGTAGTCAGATTCAGTCAGCGACTTTTCTGTGTACATGACTTCTCTGTGGTAGGCACTAACACAGGCCAGGGTGTAGACCTGCGACAGAAAGTTATTTTAATTTAAAAGAAGAGTTGATTCTTAGATTTTGGTTAAAAACTGTAAGTATTATGCAGCTATGTGAAAGTTATTTTTTAGGAATTGACGAAATGAAATTATCAACTTTTGTTAAGAACGTAAATAAAATTGAAAATTCATTTTCTACCTTCACACACGAGCACAAACGTGCGTGCACAAAAAATGTACATGCGCGCGTGCGCGCGAGTCTTAAACTTCTCATACATCTTTTTTAATACAACCTTCGTATGTCACTGCCTCATTACCCTTTATAATGTTTGAATAGCATGTTCGACTTTTTTTCTGCCCGTACCTCTGTCTATTCTCTTTCTGCAACCATCCCCTCCCCGTCCAGCACCCCCCCTACACACACACACACACACACACACACACACACACACACACACACACACTTAATGATACTGACAAATCCATCGTATGACGTACAAAACAATCTTTTTATTGCCATGCATCATTAGCTTATAATATATTTAAGAGCACTGATTCATATCCGCTTGACAGCAGTACTTAACGTTAATCCTTACGTCATGAATTTTGCAGCAGTGCAGTTTAATATCAACTGCCTCTAAAGTCACAAGTGAATCAAACTATTTGCATACTAACACATCTTCTCCATTAATTTCCGACAATATATTTGTTTTGAACTTGGGTGTTATTAAGGAGTAAAACAAATCGCTGTATAAAGTGTTACACAAAGGAAATATCAATAGGTACTTACGTCGATGCAAAGTGGTAGGAGAAATGTCTCGGCCAAGAATATCGTGGCATACACATTCAAGATATCAGTGGTAGCAACGACTGGAAGATGAATAGATAATACATTACCTCGTGCCGTAAAAAATCCCTGTCCATACAGTATCACTTTGATTATCAAAGGTAGATTCCGTCGAACGCTGCTTTATCTTAAAGATATGTCAATTTGATCTAGTGTGTGCAAAAAGGTTTTTTGAATGCTTCGCAACTGGGAAGAAGACACTTTTATCTCGAGATTGAATATATCTGCGTAAAGTTAACGAACGATGAAAGAACTGACGGACAATAAGGTGTTTTGTAATGGAAACGCAGATGTTCTACTTATTGCAAATGACACAGGTGTCTCGTCCACATGTACTAACGTAGCGACGGTATTTTCTTTTTGTTATTTCAATTATTATAGATAATTATTCTTTCTTCAGCAAATCGTGCCACCAGCCGATATGATCACTGAATACTTATTATTATTATTATTATTATTATTATTATTATTATTATTATTATTATTATTATTATTGAACTTGCAACTAAATGACATGCAATACACAAAAAATAAAAATAGACCAATAAACACGTCTTCAATCGTTTCGTTTTAGACAAGTTAAGATCCTCTTATTCCTATGGTTTATTCACCTTTGTCTATAAACGGAATCTTTCACTTTCTGTCAATTATAACTACTCAAGTAATTAAAAGATGAATGTAACAAGTAACTAGTCGAGTGAGCTGTGAGTTTTGTTTCATTAGGTTTCAGTAAACACAGGGTGAGTGACATTAGGCAATGCATTCATTTCCTCTGATGCTTTGAGGGATATAATGGTAATTTATTTTTCTCAATTTCCTTTAATCAACATATCTTTTAAGAATCAATACCTGCAGCACAAAAACAGTGTGGGACGCTACTCTCTCCTTCTGTTTGTCGCGTACACGATCACTGTTTGATTGATATAATGGTATTTTAAAATAAATGTATTCAATATTTGTTTATATTTCTACATCAACGATTTATACGGACTCGGACTTACGGCTTGTTTTACAAAGCGATTCATTTGGTTCTTGATTTTGGTGAGGCACGAACGCAATTCTTACCATTAGCAAGGCGCACAATGTACCAGATAGTGACGAGTCCCCAGAAGAGACAACGTAGGAATATGAAGACAATCCAGGGCCAAAGGAACCGAAGTCTGCCCTGGAAAAAGTATACAAATTAAGACATGACAAATCTGCAAAAATAGAACTATGACAAGTACAAAAGAAATACTGCAGAAAATCCAAAGAGGCCAGAATCTGACAGTCAATACATACATGTAACCAAGGTACGTGTATATGCATATATGTGAATACATGTGTACTGTAGTCTCATGGTAAGGTGGTCACCATGATGGCAGGAAGGAGAGCTCACATAGTGGGGAATCGTAATCAAGTGAAAGCTGCCAGAGAATAAGCCTACAACGCGGTAATTTGCTATAGTTGTAATAAATATAAGAAGCGACAAAGCCACGCAGTGATATTCTTATAAAAGATCAAATCACCGCCAACAGAAGATGCCTTACGCTCCCTACCAGAACAACACCTAGCAAAAGCACAATGGAGAACACAACCCAGATTGCGCTGATTGCGGTAGATGCGACGACCTGCTTGTAACCAAACACTGATGACTGAATACCAAGGTGAAATGTAGTGTAGACTTTTCCTGGAAAATAAATAAATAAATAGATATGATTAACAAAATGGGAGAGTCGTTTCCTTCGAATTATAAGTGAACTAAATACTTGATATTAAGATTAAGCTAGAAGTAACGGAATAGCTTTATTTTAACTGTTAAGTCTTGCTGCAATGTGTCAAACCATGGTTTGCAGTGTCATATAGTTTTATTCTTTCAAATTTCTTTAATTGTCCCTGTACTTTTCATCCCTTTTCAAACAAAATATGATTTAAGAGTATACGTATAACATAATATTCTGAATATGAAGCACAAAATAAGAATAACATGAAAATTAATGAGTAAATAATAAAGAGAGAGGGGGGGGCTAATAACAATACAAAATCATTTGATCTCCCTTTTTTGCACATTCATTCCTTAATGTAAAGACCATATGGTTTAAGTATCAATTCTACTCTATCAGCTCAGCTTGCATTATAAAACAACTATATGCAGGTCTGCTAAAACATATATGCTGCCATGTTAAATATCCTTGATAAGTTGGAAATACATGAATCAAACCTCTTACCATCCTCCGTTGTTTTGGCGTCGTAGGCATATATGCCTGTCCATATGATTCCTGCTATCTATCAAAAATAAAAGTAGATACGAAAAGGTGTCACTTTCGCAAATAGTGGTGGTGGTGGGGGGGGGGATAGATGAACGTACTTAAAGACGTGCATTTAATTAAGGTTATAGAGAAGACGCTGGCATTGTTCTGCTATATCAATAAAATCGATCAGAGGTTCAATATGCATGATGGTTAATGTATATCAACCAAAAAGTGGAGAATATTCTAGAATTACTACATTGGTGGGGGAGAATAGTGGAGTGAGGTCATACAATATATAATGCAATAATTTTACCCCCTCATAAATGATAATAATAAAATAATGATGTCAATATAAATAAACAGCGGACAGTTACAATAGATCTAGGTCTTCTGTAAAGTGTCCGAAGCAACATAAGAAGGATGGATTAATATAGTTGATGGAATGACAAAAATATTAAAATTAAATTTGGTGGGTAAACAGCGCGTTTTTAACTAAGCAAATATGAAGAAAGCATAGAGAAATTTAAAGAAATATGGTACCTTGATCCTAATTGCTTCGATATGGGTTTAAACCTATCACATGTATACATTTACATTAGTGATTTTAGTAACGCCTAATTTTTAACCCATACAAAGTAGGGTAACACTTGACGTGCACGTGACAGCATAACTTACAATCCCATACATCCCACAACCCATCGCTCCTTTCTTCAAATCCAGACATCCACAGCAACAGGTTTTCGCCATTTCTGTCGGGGATTTTTTCCCTAATATTTCAAAGCTCCAGCCAGATAATAAAACAAGGTCAAATTGTTGTATCTCCACCGAGTGATGCACCGTAGGTATATACGGTTTATAAGGGTCGCCCATGCCAGGTGGTTTTGCAATGAGGACTAAATGGGGCACAGCGTACATCTGGAAATGTACATTATACAGTTTAGGCTTGTGTGCGTGCATGTTCGTGTTGAAGCGCGTTCGTGTCTCAGTCGCAGCTTACCGTGCTGTACGTATATAGGCCAGAACAAGGCGGAAACTTGTAATATGAACAAATTTTCGAGACGTGCTATAGCTTAAGTTCAATACCTCAAAATATATTTTCGAAAGACGAGGTCAATTCACATATTTTCATTCCCACGCGAAAAAGAGTTGTTTCTTTTTCCCTTCCTCTTTCCTTCCTCCTTTTTCTCTCCTATAATACTCACGCAAGTGTAATAAATCACCACAATTACTCGTCATCCCATGCAATTTGGTTTTCAAGTTTTGACAGATTTTGGTCACGGTCGTCGCTCAGAAGTTAAGAGTTCATTGTCGACAATTACTGTTCATAATAACACGGGGGTCGTCTCAAAACTGAAAATTGCATTTTGGTTTACTTCCATTCAGGGGTGAAGGCGTAGTAGTTGACTTAAAACAACGTAGTTGTTGTTATGAAACAATAGCCTTGTCTTTGTTTGCAGAAAACGTGCAATATTGTATTTAAACAGACTATTACTGTTCTGTCTTAGGTCAAACGTGGACCAACCGTTATTTGGTTAATGGGTCAAAGCAGATTAAAAATCTTAAAGTTAAAACCAGTTTTTATGTTATTTAAACCCCCTTGGACACTGGATCGCTTTGGTTGCAGAATGAATGCTCAGAGATCGGCCATTTGTCGGCACGTAAAGTATTTTTTTACTTTCAAACGGGGCCCTATTACGAGACGCAGAAAGGACGCCGCCCAGTGGCTTTAATTCTATGAGTAACCGGCCACAAACACGTAATTGTAAAGGTAGTGCTTTGTCAATGCAGTTAACAGTCCAACCAAAAATCGGAGAATATTATAGAATTATTACATATAATAAAATTATGAATCGAAATACCTAGTAACGGTACAAATTGTTGTTGAGTAAAATGATAAAGTAAGTTTGTTTTCTTTCTTGACAATTCAGGAAGTGGTTGTTTACATCTTTGTGTTGTTACATTTAATATCTTATTACATGTACGTTTGTTTATATAGGTGATTTTATACGAATAACTCGTTCTGCAGTAAAACAAAAACAATTTCTTCAATTCAAACAACGCGCATTTGAGATTTATTATTACATAATTTAACTAAATGTAGCCATATACTTCATTGTGTCAACACAAGCAAATCAACAAACAAAATTTAGTGATCATCTTGTACCTTTCAGCTAGTAAAGTATTTCAAATGATACATTCGATATCCATTATTTTAAGTAACCTTACTTTTAAATTGTAAGATTATCACATGAGATTTCTTAATGCCACTGGAAATTTGTCGACTGACCTTCCTTATGTTCAAATATATAATTCACATCTTAATCAAACAAACAAACAAACAAACAAACAAATAATAATAATAATAATAATAATAATAATAATAATAATAATCCTCTGACAGTGTCAAATGTGCAAAGAAAAAAATAACTCATCAAACAAAAACTAACAGTATGAATAGTGGCAAGAAAGAAACTTGTTTGTGAAGAAGCTGAGCTTGTTTTTACCTACGAGGTTTGACGTTTCGCCCCAAGGCATAAACAGAACACACTTTATTCTTCAAGAAACAGCTAACCTTTCATCACCATTAAAGAAGAGACAGTGAAAAAATGCCACAGTGTAAATACTGGATTTATACGCATCACAAACATTCCATTCGCTCGTTTTGAAATTAGTGCCGACAGTTTTAGTGGCCCAGATCTTTGTAAAATTCTTCTCCTTTGAACGTCATATCTCGATTTGCACTCTTTAGCCGTGATCTCACGTATCCGTTGACAACTAAAGGCGAGGGTCTACTTCTACGTCCATGGTGTTTGTCTAAAGCAATGGCATCACGCACCAACGTTCTTATCCCTCGCAAGCGTATGACGTAACCACTATTGTCGTTCAAGTGAGCACCAACATCGATGACGTCATCGTTTCTAAATATTATACCGACCGGGAAAACGAAAGGCCTCATCTGCGCGTATGGGCGCGCAATCGGAAACTGGTTCAGAAATTTTTCCTTGAACTGGATTTGAGCGCTGACATATACTATACGGAATGTTGGTTCAACTGATATGATGACAAGGTGCGTGTTGTATATGCCAAAGTTCTCTTTGGGTGTCTGAGAGACGATCACAGAGTGAGCCATACCTATGTAATAAGGCCATTTGTACAATAAAAATGGCGACCCACCGCGCAAATGTTCTCTATTGTACTCAAAACGGTTGTTATCGGGACTGTCATTCACAACAAAATGACAGTCGCCCGTGGACGGCTCACATTTTAGCACCCTAAAGGGATCCAGAGTGTATATATAATACAGCGACCCGTTGATCTCCAATGGCGCCCAGTTAATCTCAACCACTAGAAAATCGTAATCCCTGACATTTAATCTTTTAATGGAATTTTCCTGGCAGTTCCAAAGATGCATGCGCCCTCTGCTGGCTTTGTCTTTGTCGTCCCAGATCCAGATGTGGAAGCTGACGTATAGTGTCCCGTTCACCCATATCAGCCGTGGGTCCATGGGTCCGTCGGAGCGGTAATCAAACTGAGAGTTAGACGGGACGGGGATACCCATCAACTCCCCTTTAGTCGTTGGTTCGTAGTTTTTGTTGAATTTCTGGGTGTAGAAATAACTTTCGTGCCACGTGTTCCGCAGTTGCTTCTCCGTTTTGTAGTACACGCTGTGTTCAAATTGCACCAGCCACAGACGTTGCACCACGATAATCTCGTCGTCCGCCCACGTGATTGCCGGGGCGATTCCGTGATATATGTTTTCGTTGAGGTCGTCGGAGAACATTTTGGCGACAGTTTGTTCTGTTGTGGGAGAAAAGGAATGAGGTACAGAAACGACGACTTTTGTAAGTAGTTCGTCCGACATTGCGTGTTGTTTGAAAACAGCACCGGCAAGCGTCTGGGCATGCGCGAATTCGCCATCATCGACTAGGCCCGTGTCATGTGACCCGCTCTCTATCAGGCGGCTTTCCTTTCTGATACCGCCCTCTTTCTGGATCGTCGTTGAAGGTATGCCTTGATATGTAAGTCCTCGGAATAATAAATTCCCTGATAAGATAAAGCAAATGACGAGAAGCAGAAGACGACCATATTTCCATCGTTGAAGTCTGGTCAGTTGTTTTAACATGGTGAACTTGTCTGTTGTTTCACACGCTCCACCTGAAATATAAGTGGTGATGTTTAGAATATATTGGGCATATTTACACATTAGCATTATTACTAATCTCAGCTCTTTAGCATATATTCTCTTGTATAAAATTAGTCAGATATGATTATATTCATACAACAGCGTAGAATATATAAGTAGGAGAAAATAGTAAAAGTCACACAAATTAGGCTTCAATCCGTTTATGGAAATGAGTATACAAAATTGTTTTCATGTATTTATTTCAACATAACTACTACATTTTAAATATTTTGCACTAAAGTTATATATAACATTTTGTATTGTCGTGTACATGCAAGTATGTGTATGTGCGTCCATTTGTATTTGATAAAAAATGAGAACCCCCCCCCCCCCCAAAAAAAAAAAAGAAGATAAGTAAACGAAAAATAGATAAATCAACGAAGACTTAAACCCATAAATTGTAACGGCGTTCCTTGTGCAATGGAGACGACCAGGGGCACACAGTCCCAGTGGTTTGAAGAAATGACACTGGAGCAGACTTATTGTAACTGCTTGTAGGCCAGGACCACATGTAGCAGGACTGATAGGGGGCGCTCTCCCCTCCTCTTTGTCTTTCATTTAAATTTAAACATCACCATGCAAGAAAAAATTAAAAAGGGACCTACGGCATATTCTTCGTATAGCCAATTTATATATGTGGTGGGACGAAGACACGCTAGTCTTTGTTTGTCTTTTTTTTTTTTTTAATAATCTTAATTTCGCCATGGCGAGAATCAAGCGGCCTATAAACTTATGAACTCTGAATTATAAAACGTAATACACACTCTTCGCAGGAAGATAAAGTCAATAAATCACTCTATGAACTGATGTCTTTTCCTGATTAAGTTTCCTGATGCGGTATATAATAAGAAAGATGTGTCTTTTTTTGATATATCACTGACACTTTATATCTTACGAGATGAAATACGGAGGAGCCGTGACACTCTAATACGGCCGTCCATCTTTCTATTCTATGAGATAGAACCTTAATGGCTACGTGATTAAGGCATTTTCAGCGACTTTTTGAATCTGAGAGTATCACGAAGACCCAGTAAGTGGACATTTAGGACACTTAAATGATTTATTGTTTGACTGATGACAGATTTTGTTTGCTTTTTACGAAGGCCGACTCCGTAGCTCAACTCCCGAAAAATAGGCTAGGGGTGCAGATCAACAGTGTGCCGGGGGGGGGGGGGGGTGGGGGGGTGGCATGTGTGTTCCCCTTCTTCCTATAAAAATAAAGCAAAGCAATTTTTCATCACTTTAGGCTACCATCATAGAATTTTAAAATGGTCCATGTATAATGATACATGTATTTTCCATGACATGATCCTTGTCCAAAGTACAATTTGTGTGCCAATCCCGTGCGCCTATAAAACTGGACATTATATGGCTTGAGATGTAAGAGACGTCGTGGTAGTTTAGACACGTTTTTTGTGCAAACACTAGGCGGAAAGGGCGGCAATCACCTTAAGCGCTTGATATTTCGATAAAATCGGTTAAGTTAAGAATACATACGCCTGGGTACAATCGGCGGTCATATCTCCCCACATCAGATAATAGATATACTGAATTTAAGTCACCAGTGTCACGCTAATGTCGTTCTTTTTTTTTACACTTATAACTACCAGTACGCCGTAATTTTAAGGAAATGCTCATTTCCTTTGGTATCTGTCGTGATCTTGTCGGTCTTGCAAGCTTTCAATTTTAATTGTCTAGTATCTTAGAATACACTGACTTTTTAGGTAACAACAACAACATCAACAAAAAAAAATAAAATAAATAAATAAAATGAAAAAATTAATAAATAAATAAACAAAAAAAAAGACAAAAAAAACCGTGTTTTTCTTTAGGCAAGTGACATTTTTTATGCTTCCAATTCTCCCTCCTCTTTTCATATATGCACTGATCACAGAAGTTATATATACTGGTGCAAGATGAAGTTGTCATATTCCGTGTACTGTAAAAAATAATTCCATTAAACATAAAGAAAAATATAGTCTAACGCATACATTGAGTTTACTTGATAGGCCTACATTACCATTTTGCTCGTCCAATGCATTGACCTATCTACAGTTCATAGTTAAAACAAAAATGCCACACCGACAACTAGCATTTCCTTCATACATGCAGCGGCGCCATCCTGAAACCTCATTGATATGTATTTCCGCTTGGATATTATTACACCTAGTGAAGTTATGATGCGTGTTAATATAATCTAAGACCGTTGCTCATTATCATCAGCCTAGAAAGATAAGCGGTAGTTGTCACTGGCAGGCGATATTTTATGTGATAAGATCAAGGCCACTTCCCTGCAACTTAATTTTTCTATTTTAGTCCACATATTCATTGTCTCTCTCCCCACAAATGCGAATTGATTATTTTCTCAAGCTAAAATAATCCCATATACATTCCGGCGATTATTCTGATGAATTTAATTATTTACAATAGTTGATTCTTTCTGGTTAACCATTTAATTTAATCGCAGTTAGCATCTGGGCGAAATACCTTACTCCGCTCGTATTTCTCGGACGCTGCTTTAAAATTTTTGTTTCTCTTTCTTCCCCGGGTCCGTCGAAATGTCCGTTATATCCAGCATTCTTTTGGAAACTATAAGTGACGAGGCTTACGCTATTTGTCATAAAGGAGCCCTTGTTTCAGCTTATTCATTCAGCTATTGTGGACCGTCGTTTCACGGGAGCCATGAAGAAAACTGCACCCTGGTTAGCGTCATGCCATGAAATTGCTTGATTGAGAATCATTAGAATCATTAACTTAGCGGGTCCTGCAATTAGCTTGGCGTGAACATTCCAAATTAAGCAGGCAGGGGCTCGTTGACACCTGTCTTTTACACCTCGGCAATTTCAGTTAGCACATTGAAGTGTGTGTTTATTACGTCACAACCTTTCTTCAAATTTGAAGATATCTCGATGTACCAGTACCAGTAGAAGTTATATTTATAACTGAGCCGTTCACTCAGTTGTGACTTGGATCCACAAAAAAAAAAAAATAATAATAATAAAAATAAAAAAAAAATAAAAAAAGCGTGACTCGAACGCTCCAGGATCTACCGTAGCTACTCCGTACTTTGACTGTCTTTGCGACATGTTGAAGAATTAACGCTTGGAAAGGAAAAAAGATATCAGAATCATTTTATGTTGTACAACGAGATTTTCATGATTTGATAAACACAGAGGAAGCATGGTTAGATGGAAGAGGAACAAACAAGATTGCGACACGACAGTACAGGGTGGCCCTGGCATATTATGCCTTAATTTTTTTTCTTTGATAATTCAAAATTACTGAAATTGATCGTATTTTAGAATGATAAATCATCACCATACCTAACGATGGCAATCATGAAAAGTGTCGAGAACAAGCGTCATGAAAACAATTTAAACAAAAATCCTTCACAACGGATCAAAACACTTCAACGACCAGGTTTCCTGCAGTCTGGTGACTTCCTACTCGTTTGCCACAGGGTGCGCTGGTAGTCTGCTACAAAATTTTTGTATCTCACATACGTTAATCTTGTGGAATATTTAAGAAACTCCTGATATCAGAGGGTAATGAAACCCCTCCCCCCTCCCTTCCAACTTGCCCTAAGCCAGAGATATCCAGGATCTAGCAGTGATTAATAGTAGCACGGTCAAAATTCACCAAAGAGTGGTCTTTAATTCGAGACACAAAAAGGATAAATGTAGAGTATATGAGTATGCAGTCCATTAAAATTAAGTAGCCGCAGGTCTTAAGAATAAGTCTTTCCTTTCTTTTCGTGAAACAGGCGAATATTCTATTAAGGTGGATTACTTTTGATTCAGCTTCGTCCAGAGTAGACTGAAAGCTTTGGTCTCAACGTCTTCATATATGTGCAGTCTTTGTGAAGATTATTTTAGAAACGTTATCGTAATTTTAGGTATACAGTTGAATAAACTATTATTAGATGGTTTATTCAGCAATTGTAAAAATGTACTTGTACCCGCGAAATAAATAAATAAATAAATAAATAAGGCCAACTTTAGGTATTTCTTTCTTTATATATATTTTTGTAAGACCGGGCCCCAGTGATCAATGACAGGTGACATTAGTGGAAAGGAAACTGTACCTAAAGAAAGACGATACCTTCTTACCCTCATCACTCACTTCAATAAGTCTAACTTTAGTCTAGGGGAGAACTCTTTGTTATGCTGTTATGTGAAAAGGACACACAGGCATGCGCAGTTTTGTTTGTTTGTTTTTGTTATTATTATTATTATTTTTTTAGAAAAATTGAGTTAGCGTGGTCGTTAATCTCCGTCTATGTAGATATTTAGTTGTTTTTTTCCTTTTAATATAGAGGGGAGTCGATTTCAGTAAAGAAAAAAACTGGATACGTTTAGCCGGCCCGGGCAATGATCCTGCCCTGTGAGTGTTAAGTGACGTAATTGACATAATAATGACTATGGCGATAGTTTATGTGGCATAGCTTATATGGCAGCTACACAGAGCAGCTCGACTAGGATTGACAGTAAGTGGTACCTGCCAAATACCTGTTGTTCTGTACAATGTTTTATGCGTTGGTGTAAATAAAAAGTCACAATAAAACATCCTACGAGGGTGTGAATAGGCTGATGTTTGTCTTAATATATACCCGTATCTACACAACGCTGCATCGTGTAGCTAAGAATTTCATCACTTGTACTGAGTTATGCATGTAAACGTTACAATGATGGTTTATTTAACCAACAGCTAGACTTCTTAAAATAGTTATTTCTTTCCCATTGTCTACCTCAAGACCCGTCTCTGATCAAGGAAGTAGACATCTTCCTTTTTCTGTTGTAAGTCCCTTGTTTGACACTGAAGTGTAGTGCATTGGAGAAGAAGTATAAATAGCGTAAGTGTGTCTGTTGCTTGAATGATTATTGAAATTATTACTAGAAATAAGGTGTGCGATCTTCTCCGTGCCTTTTATGAATGTAACGAAGGAAGGTTAATGGCGAGCTTAACTCCAATAGAACGTATTTTGATCGCTTATTCGGTTTTAAATTTCAACTTCTTATGTCCCTGTATTGAAAAGGTTTTACTCGAGCGTGCTTTCTGGTCATCTTACAAAATTGCTTTACATGAACCGGTTCATAAACTCTACATTTACCAAGGTCACAAACATATATCTTTTCACTTGATATTCACAGATATTTTTTCTGGCTACTTTGGGCATATTTCTGTACTTGGTAAAAAAAGATAATTGTACAAAAATGACTCATTATCCGGCTGGCCTCTGACAGAGTGTAATAAAGGGCGTGGTTAATTTACTATTTAGGCCAATAATCCTATGTCCTTTGTTTCTTTAAGTATGATTAATCCCCACGAAATTTATAATGGAATTGTATTATAGTAGAACCTGTGTGATTTCACTCCCACTGCAGGGTGTGCCTTAAGTCTGGGCACAAGACATATAGCTATTTACGAAACTTTGGCCCACAGACTGCATGCTTTTACACCACATTTAGCATCCCAAATTGTGGAAAACATTCTGAAGATGAAATAATTGATGTCCTCATTAGATACAATTTTTTTATCATAAATATACACCCCAGCTACGTATCCAGACTTTTGGGACACCTGGTGGCACAGAGGTGGTACTTGGGAAGAAAGTCCCGGATTACCCTGTACTTTCATTAAACCAAAGGCATGTTGGCAGAGTCCTTAGGCTAGTTGACGTTGTCATTATGTAAACGACTGTGAATGAGACGAGTAGACAGGTTTGTGACAGCAACAAGGGACGGAAAGTGAGAGGGGGTGAAGGTGTGACATTTAACAATTTCAGAGCGGGTGTGTTCTCTTGTACTGGGGTGGGTGGGTGGTGGGTGTACAAGAGACATATATACTTCGCTTGAATGACGTAGTAGAACCCACCAACACCCGAAAAAGCCCCTATTAAAACTACTTTTTGATAAAATATACTCACGTGAAATTCGGCGCTACATTTACTAGTACACTTCTGTGGTGATATGAGCCCAGTTATATGTTTATCACATGTGAAACTAGAGAGTTTACACGAGTTTTGACTTTTATAATATTGATGTAGAATAGGCAATCCATTAACGATTTTAAAGTTGAATAAACGAAAATCTCTCTCTCTCTCTCTCTCTCTCTGTGTGTGTGTGTATGGAGAGAGAGAGAGAGAGAGAGAGAGAGAGAGAGAGAGAGAGAGAGAGAGAGAGAGAGAGAGAGAGAGAGAGAGAGAGAGAGAGAGAGAGAGAGAGAGAGAGAGAGACCTACATGTACATGTATAAACACAGCCAAATCTTTACCTTGATCTTCCTCCATCAAAGGACGGCAGCATCACCCTTTCTTCTATCAACCACCTCGCCTCTCCGATCCTCCATTAGCTCAGGATACCCATCAACGCCGTGACCACACACACCTTAATCACTTCCCCTAGTCCACGGACACCCCATGCCATACAGTGTCGCCATCAGTGTCCTTGGTCTACTGCGGGACCGCAACATGACACATTTTATACCACGGGACAATGGCGGGGTTCCACACGTGCCTTCACCGCACGGGTCAGCAGTTGATTTAATCTCTGTTCATATCCCCCCTTTCTTTCAACAAATCTGTCTGCTTCACAATGCGCTCTATTATAACAATGCCGTTTAAGTGGTCATTTGCCGGTTTATTATTTTTCTGTGGTGCAACTAACAAAGGTCATAGGTCTTATGAAAAAAGGGACATATTTGTACTTTACGGGCACGATGTTGATTCCAAAGCAAAAAAGATTCTTAAATTTTACAAAATCGCACACTTCATGAAAACAGCGGACAAATAAGCGTGCCGTTTTCGACTAATTATCAAAGTCATAGGAAGATAGATTGTAACATTTCAAAGACATTAACGGACAGAATAAAAATGTGTTGTTATGAGTCCAGCATTTGCGAGATTTCAAAATCCGCCATTAGCATATTTGCGTCTCGCAAGCCCCAATCGTAAACGCCCTTTTGTATAGTAGCACCGCGGGGCCAACCCATACAGTGTGTTGAAAGGAACTCCACGCTTGTTTATACTACCTGTGCCGCGAAGTGCATGACGAACTCCTCAACTATGCGATGGAAGGACAACTTGTTCTGATGCTGCTACTATTTTGACAATTAATAGCGGGAGAAATTAAGGAAAATAAGGACAGACGTACAGGGGCGGTGACGCCCAGGATAAGCAAGCCAGACAAACAGGTATGAGTAGCTTTTCCGTGGTCTTTCAGGTAATTATTGATTCCCCATGATACTGGATGCATTGACCTATATATACAAGTGGAAAACTCCCTTCTAACCAGTGGGACGCTACTCCCATTTTCCGTGCCCAGACCGTCGCAATCGGAAAGTTTTTTGTGGCCTACCAAATAAACCCTGATTTGAAGATTAAAATAAGTATGACAGATACGTTGCCTTTATGGCTAACGGGGTTCTATAAAGATATAAATGCTGGTGATGCATGGTTTGACTGAAAAAAAAAAGCCATGTGAGACCGTGTCACCGGCATGGGTAATAACCAGTCGCACGTCTTACGATTAGCACACGGCCTATAACAACCCTAAATACAGGTGGTGGGAGGTAATTGGAAAGGGAAGGGAAGGGAGGGGTACCGGTTGTATGGAGAGTTCTTGATGTGTGACCAACTCTCAAGATAACTGTACGTCACCGGACGGGAGATTTTGTACGAGATACATGTACTAGTATAACCCACGTCTGGTGCGTGGAGCTGTCCCAGCCGCTGTTAATGGCAATGCCCGGTGAACGAGGGAGGTTTAGGAGGTTCTCTCCCACAGGACATAGTTTGAACGCCCGTAGACAAGGAAGCGCAATTAGAGAAGTTATTACATGTTTATTAATGTCGGGTGCAGCGTGTCTAGGCAAAACGATAATTGGGTTGAACTAGTGCGAGTAGCTGAAGAGATGACAACAACATTACACGTGTACTCCTGTGGGTAGGTGACAGGTCCAGCGCCGAGGAAAACACGTTCTTTCGTAGAAAAACACATGGACTCAGGCTTAGCTAGTACATGGGTGTGCTTACCAATGCCTTAAACCCAACAGTTGGATATCTAAGTGCTATGTGTTCATTGCACGTGTGTGTGTGTGTGTTTGTGTTTGTGTGTGTGTGTGTGTGTGTGCATACCTGGGCGTGAGCGTAGGGGCGCGTATTTTATTCTTCATGTTGCTATAGAATCTGATACCCTAAAATTATATTATTACTTCATAACTTATCCCTGAGCATTTTTATATTATGCATACAGCACCAGTAAATGTCTTGAATGCATAATATAGTGAATCTATGATGTAGTGCATTGGGTTAAGCAAGCTCATTTTATTATAATGGTGGTAAAAACATAACGGCTTCTCGCGTCGTATGGGAAAGGCAGACATGTTAAAATGCATATGTATATATGTCAATAGGTGTATGACGATTTCTTTCCATTAAACATATAGAAAAGTCGTCAGCTGAGCACTGTCTCCGATAAAGAGTAAATATCTGGACCACACTATACAAGTAGGTCGTGGTATTCATGTATTGCTTTTTTTTCAACCAGGTAGGAAGAAAACGTTTGTCATGCGTTTACAGGGCAAGGACGTTTAAGTGTCATTTAAAACCTGAGCTGGACTGACCAACCCAAGACAGCGACTGGGCAGTGGTCACCAAACTGACCAGTAGATCAACTGAGAAGGACACTGGTTAGAAGGATCTCCATTGGTGAGTGGTCACCAGCAAACAAAATGTCGAGTACCGAAATGCTTTTTAAAGTAATATCACTTTACTGATGTCACCAAACTGACGCCATTCAAGCGTTCCCCTAGGGTTGGATTGTTACTTCTGCTGACCCCCCCCCCTTGTTAACCAATGGGAACTTCAGCGTACTTATAATCTCACTGTAACAAAAACTATCATTGCACGTCTCCGTTTTGATTTTGCACGGAGTAATACTTAAACTCGCCCATTAGTTTTTTAATATACTTTTTTTTACCAATATATTACATTTTAGCGGTAAGTGGACAAGTTTTTATACGATACATTCATCTGTCTGTAGNCCGGTTGTATGGAGAGTTCTTGATGTGTGACCAACTCTCAAGATAACTGTACGTCACCGGACGGGAGATTTTGTACGAGATACATGTACTAGTATAACCCACGTCTGGTGCGTGGAGCTGTCCCAGCCGCTGTTAATGGCAATGCCCGGTGAACGAGGGAGGTTTAGGAGGTTCTCTCCCACAGGACATAGTTTGAACGCCCGTAGACAAGGAAGCGCAATTAGAGAAGTTATTACATGTTTATTAATGTCGGGTGCAGCGTGTCTAGGCAAAACGATAATTGGGTTGAACTAGTGCGAGTAGCTGAAGAGATGACAACAACATTACACGTGTACTCCTGTGGGTAGGTGACAGGTCCAGCGCCGAGGAAAACACGTTCTTTCGTAGAAAAACACATGGACTCAGGCTTAGCTAGTACATGGGTGTGCTTACCAATGCCTTAAACCCAACAGTTGGATATCTAAGTGCTATGTGTTCATTGCACGTGTGTGTGTGTGTGTTTGTGTTTGTGTGTGTGTGTGTGTGCATACCTGGGCGTGAGCGTAGGGGCGCGTATTTTATTCTTCATGTTGCTATAGAATCTGATACCCTAAAATTATATTATTACTTCATAACTTATCCCTGAGCATTTTTATATTATGCATACAGCACCAGTAAATGTCTTGAATGCATAATATAGTGAATCTATGATGTAGTGCATTGGGTTAAGCAAGCTCATTTTATTATGATGGTGGTAAAACATAACGGCTTCTCGCATCGTATGGGAAAGGCAGACATGTTAAAATGCATATGTATATATGTCAATAGGTGTATGACGATTTCTTTCCATTAAACATATAGAAAAGTCGTCAGCTGAGCACTGTCTCCGATAAAGAGTAGATATCTGGACCACACTATACAAGTAGGTCGTGGTATTCATGTATTGCTTTTTTTTCAACCAGGTAGGAAGAAAACGTTTGCCATGCGTTTACAGGACAAGGACGTTTAAGTGTCATTTAAAACCTGAGCTGGGCTGACCAACCCAACACACAGCGACTGGGCAGTGGTCACCAAACTGACCAGTAGATCAACTGAGAAGGACACTGGTTAGAAGGATCTCCATAGGTGAGTGGTCACCAGCAAACAAAATGTCGAGTACCGAAATACTTTTTAAAATAATATCACTTTACTGACGTCACCAAACTGACGCCATTCTAGCGTTCCCCTAGGGTTGGATTGTTACTTCTGCTGACCCCCCCCCCCCTTGTGAACCAATGGGTACTTCAGCATTCTTATAATCTCACTGTAACAAAAACTATCATTGCACGTCTCCGTTTTGATTTTGCACGGAGTAATACTTAAACTCGCCCATTAGTTTTTTAATATACTTTTTTTACCAATATATTACATTTTAGCGGTAAGTGGACAAGTTTTTATCCGATACATTCATCTGTCTGTAATCGTCTTCGAATGCAGAAAATAAAATCTTTCATGTTAACGATTAAAAGTTTGTTGTATTGCATCTGATGGTATAAATTATAAAAGGCTTGACATGTTACAAGCGAGCATAAATCTTTAAGCTTTCCTTAATGAAAGTCAATTAATGTAACTTGTGATTAGTAATGTACAAAACCAAGTCGAAAAAATTGTACACCAAACCATGAAAATGGGTGGGCCGTTCCTTTGACAGTTTATTTAGTAAACTTTCACACTATGTACTGTATTTAATTTGCACTGTGACCTTAGTAAGTATTATTACATTGATGGTATCCTAATGTACAATGAGCTTCATAGGAAAAGATTAATCGGTTGTTTTAACCAGTACGGTAAGATGAAGTTTTGATATTCACATCACGAGATGACGGGAGGGGGAGGGGGCCGTACACACGACAGTTCTATATAGATGAGAGTGCCGACGGCAACGTCGTGTTTTTTTCCCGTCACATTAGACATCGATTTCTTTTATTCACCTAGGAAACATTAACTTTATAAATACCTCCATGATTTTAATTATTTATATTTTACTTGTATACCGTCGAAAGAGTATGGTGGTGAGAGATGCTTGATAAATAAAGATCGTGGTTTTATATTATAGGCTGTAAATCGCAACTAAACTATGGATGCTATCTATGCAGTAGGTTTTGAATTCCGTCACTTGCACATACTGTCTATGCCTGTAGCGTAAAGTAATGCAGATAGCTTCCCCCTGAGGCGGCGCATGGTTTGTAGGCTGCCACAATCACGGAGAAAGACTACAGATAAATCAATTGGAAGGGGGGGGGCATAATGTCAAGGTCACCCTAAACTGTGTGGATCAAATGGAGAGCAGGCTGGTACATGGACCTCGGTTTCTTATCGCCGGTTGGCAGGAATGGTAGCTGCTAGGAAAGTTCACAGTCCGTTCCCAGTCTGTACTTCGCACAGGTGACATTCATTCCACATACCGGTGTGACAGGAATGGTAGTTCTTGGAACAGAAGTCCGGGGTTGCATATGATTGGTACTGGTGAATGTTAGTCAGATTATTGGTGTGAGTATATGCGACGAATGTCACCTTTACAAAGTAATGGGGAACGGACTCCGGTGCCTAGCTGACTCCTGTTACACCTGTACTAACTCCAATACTCCGACTAACCCTAACCTGTACTAATCACATGGGACACAGGACTTCCATTCCTAGGACTACCATTGCTGTGACACCGGTGTAACGAAGCTGATGATCCGTGTAACAGAAACTCCACCCTCCATTTAGTTATTATGGTTAGGGTTAGCCTGACCTAAATGAGTCAAAATCTAGAGCGAGGGGTACCTGTACAAATGAATGGGAAGCGGACCCTCTACCATGGGGGACTCTCTGCCACTGTTTGGACTATATTTTTCCATGAAATTCTTCACTGGGCAATTAAATTGCAATATTCAATTGGTAAAGTCTATATTAGCATACTATTGTTAGTTAAATATTATTAGTTAATAATGAAAATGTGACTTACTGAATTCTGTGATTTTGAAGTTCGAGGAGACTTCTTTCAGCTGCACAATAGATAGATAGATAGATAGATGGATGGACGGAAGGGTTAGGCTGATACCCAGTATAAAATGAAATCGTATTGTAACGTCACATGCCTACCGTGTAAATTCAAATCGTTTAAGTTCAACTTTCTCAATTAGTTCACTGCTGAGTTACTGACCATTTCGACACTGGTATCTCATATTTGGACTACCGTTTTAAAAAGCACGTCAACTTTCTTTCTGTTAAATCTCATGCTTTGGTAATATATAATTTTTTTTTATTTTAGGTCATATCTGCGATACAATCGTCCTCCACCACCATGAGCCGGGCTGTGAGAGGCTTCGTGGCTTTCCTAGCCTGGACTCTGTTTTCGTTCTACGCTCACTACTTCGCCCGGAAAGCGCTTCGAACCTGGGGGAACATACCTCAGGAACAACAAGAGACGACCGAGAAGAAGAAAGCTTTGTGGTACGCAGTGGTAATTTTAAGCCTTTGTCAAATTGTTGTCGGAGCCTGTGTTCTCCTTCTGCTTCCCAGACTATGCAGCCGGCGTCTTCTTACCTGGATGGGGCTGGACGCCAAGGAAAGCATGAGCGCCGACCCCCACTCAGACACAGGGGTGGAAAAAGTGACCAATGGTGTAACACAGGGACAAGAGGAACCCTGTGAGAGCTCGAGACTTCCAAACACTGATTTGTCCCTTGTCACCCTGTCTGTAAGCCACATGGCGGCCACGATGTGTACGAACGCTAGCTTGGCGTTTTGTGACGCGTCCAGCGCGTTTACGGTGAAGGCGTTTGAGCCCATCACTACAGCGGTGCTGTCCAGCATTTTAAGCGGGAAAAAGTTGGAGACGAATACGATAATAGCATTGCCCTTAGTTGTCATAGGGTCTATCGGGTTTGTGTGGAGACCACAGTACAGGATGGGAGAAACACTAGGACTCACGCTTGCCTTTTTATCCAATATTTTGTTTGGATTGCGTAACGTTACGCTGAAAAGTATGGCAAACAAAACACCTTTGGTACAGGTCCAGACTTTAGCGAAAATGAGCACATGGGCTGCTTTCCTGCTTCTCTTCATGGAAATTTTCCTAGCCGTAGCGGCACCAGACATGTTTCCTACATTATTAGCTGCGGGACTGCTTCAGCCCTGTCTCGTTTCGGCGATACTTCACGTGACTTACACCGTTATCTCAACGTGTATCATACTCAAATATATATCAGTCGTCGCACATTCCATGGCTAATCTAATGAAAAGGATTTCATTGGCGCTTCTGTTTTATATGATAGGGAAACATTTACTTCTTCCCGTTAACTATTTTTCCGGGACGGTTATACTTCTTGGATTGGCCTTGTACGTGTTCCCAGCGGCTACAAGACAAAGTAAGTACTGTTTGTCCTCTTGAAGGCATACATTTCAAGTAAAACCTTAATATAGCACCCCAAAAAATTCCAGTTCTCTTTTAATCACCAAGATAAATCTTACCCAAAACTACTAAATCGCATTACAAATAAATGAAAAAATAATACAATCTTAGGCATTTTGGGTTTTCGTTTTTACCATTGCGAGTGAAATTCGCAAGTCTCCACCTTTGTCACTAGTGTGCCCAAACGGAGAGACTTGGGACCGAGAAACGAGTCTATGGATCTTGATTCTGTCAACAGTTTTCGAATGCTGCACATGGGCGATTAAAGAAAAAGTGTGTAGATTATCAAGAACATTATGTTCTTCTGTTATTAAAATGTGTAACTCCCAGTGCGTGTATTTAATTGTTATTAGTCAGTATATTATGTAATGATACGGTCGATCACAAAGGTATGCTATCTAAACAAATTTTTGCTGCTATTTTTTTATTTGTTAAAAATACATTCATTATCTACCTTGAAAACATCAGTTAAACCTTTGAACGAATCAATTATAATTATATGATTATTGTTCGCTTAGAAGTATTGCACTGTATGATTTTTATTATGTATTTTGTATTTCATGTCATCAATAACAAAAATGTAATGATA